CCGGCCGCGGCAGCCATTGGAGGGTGAACCAACGGCTAAAGGAAGACCTTTCTCTCTCTCTCTCTCACTGTCCACTCTGCCTGTCAAAAAAAAAAAAAAAAAGAAAAAAGAAACAAGATGATTATTATAAAAATCAGTTTAGTGGTTTCCTGCATTTGTCTTTTATTTACCGTAAAAATCATTTTTTAAAAATTCAGACATTCTGTATGATGTTGAATAGCAGAACAAGACTTACAGATAAAAGACAAAAAGTCTAGATTCCAGCTGGTGCTGATGCAATGAGTACATCATGCAAATGCCTTGATGTCCTCCTGAATGAGATGCATTTAATTTGTGGGTTCAGGACTGGATAATAGGTGGTCTAGGAGGTGTGGCTAACAGTGCCACCATCCCCAATTGCCCTTCCTCCACGAGAGTATCTCTTTTCACCACAGTTGTGAGATGAGATGAGATGAGATGAGATGAGATGAGATGAGTGGCTGGTGTCTCTACTTGCTTTTCATTCCACATCACCACAATGAGCAGCCCTCTGATCCAAAAGCCCACATATTTTAACTATTTCAGTGGGTTTACATAACTGGACTGAAGGATGGAGGTTGGTGGGTGGAAAATGAGCTCTTTCAATGTTTAAAAAAAAAGAGGCCGGAGCTACGGCTCACTAGGCTAATCCTGCACCTGTGGAGCCAGCACTCCGGGTTCTAGTCCCGGTCAGGGCGCTGGATTCTGTCCTGGTTGCTCCTCTTCCAGTCCAGCTCTCTGCTGTGGCCTGGGAAGGCAGTGGAGGATGGCCCAAGTGCCTGGGCCCTGCACCCGCATGGGAGACCAGGAGGAAGCACCTGGCTCCTGGCTTTGGATCTGCGCAGCGCCGGCCATTAGGGGAGTGAACCAACGGAAGGAAGACCTTTGTTTCTTTGTCTCACTGTCTAACTCTGCCTGTCAAAAAAAGAAAAAAAAATACATATTTTCCCTTGGTCCTAATACCATTCAATGGCTTAATTTTGGTATATTTGCCTATGGAAAAACCTATGCTGTAATATCTTGAGCCCAACAAGTGAACACAAGTTAGAGTGAGTCTGTGTGGCCTCCAATGTCAAAAATAATGCCCAAGAATGGAATGAAGACTGGAGTCAAGACTTAGAAAAGGTAGCAGGCATAAAGGTTTTAGAAATACATTACGGGCTCAGCACGCATTCTCTCATGAGGTGACTTATACTCTTATCTATATCTATAAGCCAACATCTCTCTTCCATGTTAAAGACTCCTTTCCTTTTCTTCCTCTAGTTAATTTTTGGTCATCTACAATAATAACCATCTGTCACAGAATGACCTCTTAAAGTTCTCCACAATTCCAAGTTCCAGGATACTAGTTTCATTGGGTAAGAAGCAAATGAATTTTTTTAAAAGATTTATTTATTTATTTGAAATGTAGTTAGAGAGAGAGAGATTTTTTTCCATCAGCTGGCCTACTTCCCAAGTGGCTGTAACAGCCAGAGCTGGGCTGATTAGAAGCCAGGAGCTTCTTCTGGGTTTCCCATGTCAGTGCAGGGCCTAAGCATTTGGATCATCATATGCTATTCTCCTAGGTGGATTAGCAGGGAGCTGGAACAGAAGTAGAGCAGCAGGAACTCTAACTGGCACCCATATGGGATGTCGGCACTGCAGGTGGTGGCTTTACCCACTACACAGTAGCGCCAGCCCCCATAGATTAATTTTTGTCAGGGCCGGTTCTGTGACTTAGTAGGTTAAGCCTCTGCCTATGGTGCTGGCATCCCATATGGGCACCAGTTTGTGTCCTTGTTGCTCCTCTTCTGGTCCAGCTCTCTGCTGAGGCCTGGGGAAGCAGTAGAAAGAAGATGGACCCTGCACCAGCATGGGAGACCTGGAAGAAGCTCCTGGCTTAGGATCGGCTCAGCTCTGACCATTGCAGCCACTGGTGAGTGGACCAGCAGAAGACCTTTCTCCCTGTCTGTCTCTTTCTGTAACTCTACCTCTCAAATAAATAAAATCTTAAAAAAAAAATTAATTGGTCAGTAAAATTAACAATATGAAACATGAGTTACTATAGTGACATTCTTAAATATCACTCAGAACAAATTCTAGCATTATTAAAGACTATTTTCTCATTTATAGTGTCTTATTATAGTATTATATAGTAAATATAATAATATATCTATATAATAATAAATATTATATAGTATAATATATAATATATAAAAATATATATTATATTAAATATACATTATATGTTATAATATATAATATATTATATAATATATAGTATAATATAATACTATAATAATACTATAATAAAAGTATAATAAATATTATATAGTATTATAGTAAAAGTATGTTTTTGAAAATTTCTATGCTTTTATTAGAATATTTAAAAATACATAAACACATATTTATTATGTGGAAAAACTCTGTGGCCTTTATTTTTGGCCTTTTAAAACAAGCACACTCTTAGTTAGGGTAGATTAAAACAATATCACAAATATATCCAAAATACAATGGCTCAAACAAAATCAAAGTTGATTTCTAGCAAACAATGCAGAGTACAAGGGTAGAACACTGTAAATTCCTCCGGGTACTCAAGCTGAAGGCAGCTGATGTGTGGCTCCCAAGGTCAGTCCTAGTCATCACACAGGAAGGGGAGAAACAGCACTGAAAAATCCTGCAGGAAGCTTTAGATGCCAGGTCTACAAGAGCCTGAAATCACTCCCATTTAATAGATAACTAGCCAATTCCACCACAGTGCATAAAGTGAGAAACCAGGGCTCAGGTCTCATTAAAAAAATCCTAAGATCACTGAAATGGCATGACATTAACTGACCTAGGATATATCACAAAGTCAAGTGATCAAAATATGTTATGCTAGAAGAATGCAGTAGAATGAGCACAGATTTTTATTCCTGCCTCTATGAGTAAGCAACTGTATTTTACAAAAGCTACTTAACTGTTCCAAGCAATTTAGCAAACAGGTATGCACACAGACATGCATACACATACATATCCATATATATCCATATGCATGCATATAGATAAGTATATACAATACTTGACACACAGAAAATGCTCAACAAATATTAGCTTCCTGGCCATTTTCTAATCACTCTGTTATTTGTATAATAAGTAAGTTGAATTGAGTATTCAGTCATTTTACCAATTTTCTTTAGTTAAATGTTTGGCATATATTGCTTATTTTATGGTACCCAAAAAGCTCAATAAGCTCCTACAAAAAACAGAACTGCACAAAAATATTCTAAAAACACTTAGGGAAAAAATGCAAAGTAAGCACAAAATCAGATAGAGTCATTTCTGACAAAAAGGAAATAATGAAGCAACCTAGAAATGACCTGAATAAGTACAGTGCATTTATTTATTTATTTATTTATTTATTTAATTTATTTTTTTGACAGGCAGAGTGGACAGTGAGAGAGAGAGACAGAGAGAAAGGTCTTCCTTTTGCCGTTGGTTCACCCTCCAATGGCCGCCGCGGCCGGCGCGCTGCGGCCGGAGCATTGCGCTGATCTGAAGCCAGGAGCCAGGTGCTTCTCCTGGTCTCCCATGCGGGTGCAGGGCCCAAGCACTTGGGCCATCCTCCACTGCACTCCCTGGCCACAGCAGAGAGCTGGCCTGGAAGAGGGGCAACCAGGATAGAATCCGGCGCCCCAACTGGGACTAGAACCCGGTGTGCCGGCGCCGCAAGGTGGAGGATTAGCCTATTGAGCCACGGTACTGGCCTGAATACAGTGCATTTAGAATGCAGAAAGACCTGCAGGAGGGAAAATACACACACTTATGCAGGCATGTGCAGAAACAGTAAAGTAAAAGGGAAAGAAAATAAATTTTGGAAACTTACCACAGTATCATAAAATTTTTTAAAAAATTATTCGTTATATTTTTTCTAGAAGAATGGCAATATTCTAGAATACACATATAGAAAGGCAACTGACAAATTATGGGACAGTACTTGAAGAACTAACTCTGAATGCAGCAGAAAGAACTAATGAGAAAAAGCATGAAAGAACAGGTAAGATACAAACAGGATGTGTGAGGAGTCAACATAAATTTAACAGGAGTTGCAAAATAAAAGAGAAAGCAATATTGAAGCAAATTGTGAGAATTTCCCAGAACTGAAGTCCTGAATTTCATAAAGAACAATAAAAAAAAAAAACTAAAAACACTATAACTGGGGTGGGCAGTGTGGTGCAGTGAGGTGAGCAGCTGCTGGCAATGCCCACATCCCATATTGGGGTGACTGATCCAGTCTCGGCTGAGTCTTGGCTCCTCTACTTCTTATCCAGCTTCCTGCTAACGCACGTAGGAAGTGGCAGATGATGGCTTAAGTGTTTTGGTCTCTGCTGCCCACATGGGTGACCTGGATGCAGTCCTCAGCTCCTGGCTTTGGCATGGCCCAGCTCTAGCTATTACATGCATTTGGGGAATGAACCAGTAGATAGGGGATTTCTCTCTTATTTCTATCATTGTGCCTTTCAAGCAGATGAAAATAAATTTTCTTTTCTTTTCTTTTCTTTTTTTTTTTTTTTTGACAGGCAGAGTGGACAGTGAGAGAGAGACAGAGAGAAAGGTCTTCCTTTGCCGTTGGTTCACCCTCCAATGGCCACCGCGGCCAGCGCGCTGCAGCCGGCGCACCACGCTGATCCGATGGCAGGAGCCAGGTACTTCTCCTGGTCTCCCATGGGGTGCAGGGCCCAAGCACTTGGGCCATCCTCCACTGCACTCCCTGGCCACAGCAGAGAGCTGGCCTGGAAGAGGGGCAACCGGGACAGAATCCAGAGCCCCGACCGGGACTAGAACCCAGAGTGCTGGTGCCGCAAGGCGGAGGATTAGCCTAGTGAGCAGCGGCGCCGGCCATGAAAATAAATTTAAAAATTAAAATACAAACTATAATCAAAGCAAGCAAAATTTAAAAGCAGTAAGCATAGACTAACATAGGATGCTATGAACTAAACAGTATGACTGACTCAACCTTTTTATAGAAGAATTTTTTTTAATTTAAAATAAAATTAAACACAGAAATCTATCACTTCATCTTGGAAATGATAAGCAGCAAATTCAGGGTACTGATTAACCTCTGAAGAGGCAGAGAGAAGAACGGGTTTAGGGAGGAGCATGCAAGCAATGTATTTCTACACTTGATCTTAGCCAAAAGGCCGAGAAGCAATTCACGCACTGTATTTTTAATTTTCATTTCTTTTAAAAAATCTGGAGTAAATATAAATAAATCTTGACAGTCACTTGAAATTTCTGCTGTCATCAAAGTTCCTTGGTTTTCTAGAGATTAGATATTTACAAAGAGATTATGCTCTCTGTTTACAACCTGACATCCTAGATAAGAAATACTACAAAGATTCAACATATGAGTACATGATAATGTTTAGCATGAGGAAGATGCAGAAACCCAGCATCAACTTAGGTAGCTGAATTAAAGGACCTAAGAAAGAATATGCTAATTCTGGTTACCAACCTTAGATCCTCTTAACTACCCCCTTAAAATCAAATTCAAGAGAACCTTTGGGCCGGCACCGCGGCTCAACAGGCTAATCCTCCACCTGCGGTGCCAGCACTCCAGGTTCTAGTCCCGGTTGCTCCTCTTCCTGTCCAGCTCTCTGTTGTGGCCAGGGAGTGCAGTGGAGGATGGCCCAAGTGCTTGGGCCCTGCACCCGCATGGGAGACCAGGAGGAAGCACCTGGCTCCTGGCTTCAGATCAGCGCGGTGCGCCGGCTTCAGCGGCCATTGGGGGGTGAGCCAACGGAAAAAAGGAAGACCTTTCTCTGTCTCTCTCTCTCACTGTCCACTCTGCCTGTCAAAAAAAAAAAAAAAAAAAAGAACCTTTGGCTTAGAACAATGAAAATAGCAGAGGTGAATAACCTGGAAGTGAGTATGAATCATCTGAAATGCACAGTAAAAATAGTGAACTGCATTCTTCTACTTGAGGTTATGGTTCTGATTGACTTATATGACTGTGTTCCATACCTTTCTGTCTCTGAATCCACGTTTCTTCTTTTTTTCTTCTGGATAAGGCTCAAGAGAAGTATCTGCAGCCTTTTTCTCATGGTTATAAGCTTCTCCTTCATCTTTATTCTTCCCGTTATCACCAGTTTCAGACTTTAGGTTGTTCACATATTGTGGAGATTCTGCATGAGCCCTGGATACCAAAAACAAGAACAAAAGCCTAGGTTAGTTGTGATATCCATCACATTAAGCAAAGAAGCACCCAAAGAGATGGCTTAGCAGGAGCAACAGCAATGACAATTATCACGATATCTGAACAAAGAGGTCCCTCATCACATGACCTGGCAATCCCATTTCTGGTTACATATCCAAAAGAATTGAAAATACAGTCTCAAAGAGATATTTATGCACTCATGTTCACAGCAGCACTACTCACAATAGCTTAACATGGGAGGGACCCAAGTGTCCTTTGGTGGACAAACGGATAAACAAAATGTAGTATACAAATTCAAGATTTTTCAGACTTAAAAAGTAAGGAAATTGTTACATCTCAAGGATAAACCTTGAGCCCATTACATGAAATGGAATAAGCCACTCACAGAAAGATAAATATTATATCATTCCACTTACAAGAGTTATTCAGAGCAGTTAAATCCAAAGAAACAGAGAAGAAAGGTGGTTATTAGGACTGAAAGGAGGCTTTTTAACAGGCATAGAGTTAGAGTTTTGCAAAAGGCAAAAGTTCTGAAGACTTGTTCACAACAATGAGAATATAATTAACACAAGTAAACTACATACTTAAAAATGGTTAAGATGGTAAATTTTGGGGACGGTGCTGTGGTGCACGAGGTTAATCCTCTGCCTGCAGTGCCGGCATCCAATATGGGCACCAGATCTAGTCCCGGCTGCTCCTTTTCAGATCCAGCTCTCTGCTATGGCCTAGGAAAGCAGCGGAAGATGGCCCAAGTCCTTGGGCCCCTGCACCCACATGAGACCCGGAAGAAGCTCCTGGCTCCTGGCTTCAAATCAGCTCAGTTATGGTGGTTGCAGCCACTTGAGGAGTGAACCAGTGGATGGAAGAACTTTCTCTCTCTCTCTCCCTCTTACTGTCTCTAACTCTCCCTCTCAAATAAATAAATTAAATCTTAAAAAAAAATATGGTAAATTTTATGTTACATGCCTCTCAACACAACAAAAAAGGATACAAGCAAAGAAAAAATAGGAGCCTAAAAGAATAAAAAACATTCAAATAAAAACTTAAACATATAAAAAAATTCTACATGAGGGCAGACATTTGGCCTACTGGTTAAGGTGCTGGTTAAGGTACCTGCATACCATACGTTTGAGTGCCCGAGTGTGACAGCCAGCTCAGGCTCCTGACTCCAGCTTCTTGCTGCTGTGTATCCTGGAAGGCAAGGGTGATGGTCCTGGTAGCTGGGTTCCCGTCACCCATGTGGGAGGCCTGGATTGAGTTCCAGGCTCTTTTGCTTTTGCTCCAGCCTGACTCCTGGCCACTGAGGCTGCTAAGGGAGTGAACCAATGGCTGAAAATGCACACCCTCTCTATCCCTCAAGTAACTTTCTACTTTGGTTCAAACTTCTTTTTAACCTTGATCAAATGATGTACAGGATCACATCATTGCTCTATTTCCCTCTGAAAAATCTCCTATAACTAAAAAATTATGGATGGTCTGCTGAAGGGGAGACCCAATTTATTTATCTATGGAAGCAAAACACAGTATTCACTCAATCCACTCTTCAAGTGCAATAGTAGCTACACTAATTGCTAAAATTAAGACCTGAATAGGACTGTTCTTGTCTCCAAGAAGTTGAGAGTCAGTACAGAGTGTAGACAAGTAAAACAAGGGAACACATAAGGACAGGAAAGAAGATCAAGAAAAACTTCCTAAAAAGAATGATTTATGATCAGCCTTTTTTTAAAAATACGATTTATATATTTATTTGAAAGGGAGAGTTATAGAGAGAATGAGAGACAGAGATCTTCCATCTGTTAATTGAATCCCCAGCTGGCTGCAACAGCCAAGGATGGGCCAAGTGGAAGCCAGGAGCCAGGAGCTTCATCTGGGTCTCCCACATAGGTGCAGGGGTCCAGACACTTGGGCCATCTTCCACGGCTTTCCTAGGCCATTAGCAGGGAGCTGGATCGGAAGTAAAGCAGCTGGGACACAAACTGGCATCCAGTGGGATGCTGGTGTCACAGGCAGTGGCTTTACTCCCTTTGCCACAATGCCCAGTCCCTGATCTCCCAACTTATAAACCTGAAGTTCTACAAAAGAAAAGCTACAGCTATTAAAAAATAATTTGGTATGACAGAAACTCTCCTAACTATATTTCTTTCAATCAGTTCACTTAATTAACCAGCATTCAAAATCTATGCACAAAAACCTAGGGGCTATTGTCCATGACCCTCTGATTGCTCTCGTATAGTAGACTGGCCTCACTCTGGTTACCCCTGTGACTCCACCTTGGGCAATTCATGCTTATAAGAATCATTTTTTTCCCATTACTGTAATGAATAAAATAAATATTACACAACTAATAAAGCACAATGATGTATAAAAAAAGAACTTCTGTTCCCAACCACAATGGAGTAACTGTACTAGATTTGAGTTTCCATTGGAGCTAAAATAGAGAAAATTGAAGAAAATATATGAAACAAATGCTTTGAGACACTGCACATCAGTCAGAAACGCTGAGAAAAGTGAGTTCTATACATGCCCTGAATTTGTCTGCAGATGTTTTCCAGTCCACATGTAGGATCCAAGCCAAACACAGCGACCTCACTAAATTGAGCAAAGTTCGGAGAAGCACTGGAATCGATGAGGCAGAGGACCCAAGAGGAAGAAATCACACAGAAAAAGAGCTCCAAAAACCTACACGAAGTGCCCTGGAGAACTGAGTGCACACTAAGCACACTGAGCAGCACATTCTTAGGTTAAACCACCCAGAAAAGTGATCAGAGAGCGAGCAGTGGGTCAAATAATTTCCAGAGTTCACAAGCAGAAAACGTTCTAGTTCTGACAAGTACACACCCCCAAAAGTGTTATGTCATGTTACTGGGCTAAATGAGCACAAAGAAAATGGTGCTCTAGACCATTCTTTAAAAAAAAAAGTTTAATTGAACAAGCTTTGGAAGATCAAGCAGATTCTCTAATAAATTAACTGCTAAAAGAAAAAAACTCAACACATTAAAATACTGCAGGAAAAAAAAAAACGGTGACCTTGAACACACTTAAAGATACGGTATCTTTAAGGTGTTTCATAAAAAAGAAAACAAGGTCAACCTAGAATTCAACATCTCTCGAAAATCTCCTTCAACAGTGAAGGCAAAAATGAAGATATTTCCAAACAAAAGCTGATAGAATCTACTGCCAGCAGACAAACACTTTTAGAAATATCAAAGGAAATGTTCCCATACCAGGCTAAAGAAGGATACTAGATGGACTAGTGGATGGCAATTGTATGTCCAACTTTCTTTCAAATAAAAATGAAAATAATTCATTAAAAATATATATCGGACTATTTAGCAGAGGTGGGGAAACATTCTGACAAAGACAATTTGGATATTTATAACATCATTCACAGGCCATACAAAATTATCAACTTAAAAATTAGCCTGCTACAGATTTATTGAATTTCGAATCCTGCCTTGTGGTTGCCTTAGCAGGGCCAGACCAGGTGATTTTGTTGGCTTTACATGGCCTGCAGGCTAGACATTCTCCACTACTGATAAAGCAGAGATACAAAAGTAATAACAATGTGTGAGTGGTGTATGAGTAATAATGATGTGTGAGGTTTATAGCATATGTAGATATAAAATATATAAAGGCAATAGCAGAAAGAAAATAAAAAAACAATGTTGCAAAGTTGTTTTTGTTTTGCATTTATTTGTTTGAAAGATAGAGAGACAGAAAGAGCTCCTATCTATTGGCTCATTCACCAAGTGCCTGCAACAGCCAAGACTGGGCAGGAGCTGAAATCTAGAGTTGGAAACTCAATGCAAGTCTCTTCCTGACATGGGTGGTAGGATCCCAATTACTTGAGTCATTACCACTGCTCCAAGGGTCTGCATTAGCAGGAAGCTGAAGTCAGGAACTGCAGTCGGGTATCAAATCCACGTACTGTGACATGGCACAAGGGTGCCTTAAGTGGAGTATTAACCACAAGGCTAAACTCCTGCCCTGTAAAGTTCTTACACTTATGAGAAGTGATGCAGTATTATTTGAAGGTAGTTATGACAAATTCAAGATGTATGCTGTAAGCTTTAGAGCTTAGTTAACTAAGCTGTTAGTTGACTATGGAGTTAGTTAGGAGTTAGTTAACTATGGTTCTACAGCTCAAATTCAGTCTCTTACCATTTATTTTTTTTTAAATATTGTCTAAGCACACTTTATTTATTTATTTATTTTTGACAGGCAGAGTTAGACAGTGAGAGAGACAGACAGAAAGGTCTTCCTTCTGTTGGTTCACCCCCCAGATGGCTGCTACGGCCGGTGTGCTGCGCCAATCCGAAGCCAGGAGCCAAGTGTTTCCTCCTGGTCTCCTATGTGGGTGCAGGGCCCAAGGACCTGGGCCATCCTCCACTACCTTCCCGGGCCACAGCAGAGAGCTGGACTAGAAGAGGAGCAACCGGGACAGAATCTGGCACCTCAACTGGGACTAGAACCTGGTGTGCCAGCGCCACAAGCGGAGGATTAGCCTAGTGAGCCACAGAGCCGGCCAGCACACTTTATTTTTTTTAAAGATTTATTTATTTGAAAGGCAGCATTACAGAGAAGCATTGAAAGAAAGAGAGAGAGAGAGAGAGAGGAGAGGGAAAGAGAGAGAAAGTCTTCTATCCGCTGGTTCACTTCCCAGATGGCCACAACGGCCGGAGCTGGGTCAATCCAAAGCCAGGAGTCTGGAGATTCTTGCGGGTCTCCCACGTGGGTGCAGGGGCCCAAGGACTTGGGCCATCTTCCACTGCCTTCCCAGGCCATAGCAGAGTTGGAATGGAAGTGGAGAAGCTAGGACTTAAACTGGTGCCCATGTGAGATGCCTGCACTGCAGGCGGCAGCATTACCCTCTACACCACAGAGCCAGCCCTTCCTACCCATTCTGGTATATCCTCAAGCTGAGTGGTTTCTACATTATTAAATGGTTGAAAAGAAGCAAGAGAATAATATTTGGTGAT